GGCAGTGGAGCTGCAAGGCCGCCACCGGTGGCCGGGACCGTTGTGGGTGGGGTGTGTGGCCTTATGACACACTTCCGGTGATGTCAGGGGGTGTGGCCTTATGACACACTTCCGGTGATGTCAGGGGGTGTGGCATATGCTAATGAGTTATGCTAATGAGTTCCCCTAGCTCTTTTTCTACAAAACGACCCCTGGGCCTCATCAAACAAATTTTGGTGAGACTTGGAAATCTGGGTCAGATGGTTGCCTGGGAATAGTTGGAAGAGTGAAAGTCAGGGCTTCATTTTGGTGTGGATGGTGCAAAAGGAGGAAAATCAGTTATTTTCCCCACCACCACCACCTGGTAGCCCTTAGTGGGGAGAGTCAGCCCTTTTGTTCCACTGGGAAATTCCAAATCAAGTCAAGAGGGTCAGTCCCCACGGCTGCCATCCAGCTCTTTATCTTGCCCTGCCCCAGCTACCTGCTGGACCTCAAGAGGAGCAGCTAATGTGTCACTTTGATTCCAGTGATTGTTCACTTATGGCCTTAGTCCCAGTAGATTAAGGCTTTAATCAGTCTTTCGTGTGGATTAAAAATCTTCATTGGCTAGAGAATGTACATTCGTCTTCCATGTTCTTCTCTCCTTTAGCAGCATTCTCTAGGATAGTTGTGGGGCATTGGCACCTGTGCTCTCAAAATGCAGTTCTCTCAAGCCATGCCTTCAGCAGTTAAGCACCTCTCTTCAGTGTTTTCTGCACTGCCAGTGCAAGCTCAGAGGGAAGTAAACAGAGCTGGCAGTGCAAGCTCATGGTAACTGAGTGCCCAAATCTGTGCTGGAGTAAGCTACTGCAAAACACATCTAAACGCACTTTTTAAATGGATTTCAGACATCAGAGTGTTTCTCAAGTGAATGATGAAAAGTCACAAAACCAGTGGGAGAAAGAACAAGACGATTTCCAAAATTCCCCAATGTGTTTTGAACATATATATTCTTCCTCAAGCAAACGTATACGACTCCCTAATTAAGAAAACAGTATTATGAATGAAATTGATCTCCTTCAGTTTACTTCAGAAGTAATTGTTGGACAGTTGTAAAAAAAAATCTTCCACACAAGTGTGCTGATAATTTACAAGCTGCTTTCTTTATGCTTGATCTATGAAGCCACATTTGGAATATTGCATGCATTTCTAGTCACCGTATCTCAAAAAAGGGTATCACAGTGCTGGGAAAAATACAGAAGAGGGCAACCAAGATTATTAAGGGATTGTAGCACCTTTCCTTTGAGGAAAGGCAATCAAGTCTGGGACTTTGCAGTTTAGAAAACAGACAAGGAAGGGGAACCATGAGAGAATATCATTTAAACATGCATGAGGAGGAGAAAGTGGGTAGAAAGAACTTTTTCGCCCTCTCCCCATTATACTAGCAGTTGGGGCCACCCAATGACCATATGAAGCTGCCTTATATTGAATCAGACCCTTGGTCCATAACTATCAGTATTGTCTACTCAGACTGGCAGCTGCCAGTATATTTGATGAGCGATTTGACCCAGTATATTTGATGAGCAATTGTTTAGGACAGATAAAATGAAACACTTCTCTACTCAATGAGTAATTAAATTGTGGAATGCATTGCCAGTTGATCTAGTGATGGCCACTTGCATGGATAGCTTTAAAAGAGGGTTAGACAGATTAGTGGAGAATAGGTTCACCAGTGGCTATTAGCCATGGTGATGAATGGGAACCTCCATATTTGGAAGCAGCAAACCTCTGAAATCCAGTGTTAGGAGGGAACATCAGGAGAAGGCCTTGGCTTCTGTGCCCTCTTTGTTGGCCCTCCAGGACAACTGGTTGGCCAGTGTGTGTGACAGGATGCTGGACTAGATGGACCATTGGTTTGAGCCAGCAGGGCTCTTTTTACACTCTTACGACTTCCTACTTCATAGGATTTTTCTCTGTGCTGCTTATCAGACAGCTTCATTTCTGGCCCATGTTGGCAGCATGCACAGGGAGTGGTAGAGGTTAGTTGTTGTAGATTTTCCAGGCTGTATGGCTGTGGTCTTGGCACTGTAGTACCTGACATTTCACCAGCAGCTGTGACTGGCATCCTCAGGGGTATAACACAAAAAGATGGAGTACTCTCTGTGTCAATGTGAAGTTGCTTGGAATATTTTTCATTGGCCATAAGTACCTGAGAGCCAGTGTGGTGTGGTGATTAAGAGCAGTGGACTCTAATCTGGAGGACTGGGTTTGATCCCCCACTCCTCTTCAACATGACCTCTCAGAACTCTCTCAGCCCCACCTCCCTCACAAGGCCCCTGTTGTGGGGAGGGGGAGGGAAGGTGATTGTAAGCCTCTTTGAGACTACTTAGGGTAGAGAAAAGCGGGGTATAAAAACCAGCTCTTCTTCTTCTTCTCTCAGTAAAGAAAAGGTTGGGGAGCCCTGCTGTAACCACTTTGCTACACTGGACAAAGCTTATAAGACTTAAGCAGCTATGTTAGCTCAAAACCCCACCAGAGAAAGAACTTTTAGCAGTTTTTTGTTATCAGGGGCTACTTCCTACTCTCCTTGTGCTTAGCAGCAGCAGCGCTTGGGGAAAATCACATGGATGGAAGTGATCTGTCTTAAAATAAATCCAAATTTTCAAGCATAACTATAGTATGTGTAGATCACAGCTGGGGGGGAGAGGGAAAACAAGCCATAGCTCAGCGCCTTGGAAAGCATTGGCCACTCTCTCTGTGAGAAGCATCTTTATTGCATCTGATGGCCTATGGGTAATACAGTATCAGCAGGACTGGAAGTAATAACTTGCAAGTATATTGCTTTCAGGCTTCAGTTGTGTTTCTTTGTTTGTTTGTTCCTCCTGTCAGCTCAAACTACCGAGGTGCTAATCAAGGCCAGCGAGTACATGAGCCGGTTGCTGGAACAAGCTTCCCTGCATTTCTTCGTCACAGCCCGTGTCAACGAAACACAGAAGATCCTGGCCAAGCAGAAAAGCGCTGCGCTAAAAATCCCACAAGTGCTCCTTAAGGTCAGTTTTCAGGGACTGCAAGAAGCAGACTGGTGTGGCTGTACTGTCGATGAGTTTTGCGTCTTGATTGAAAGGATCTTCCTGAGATGATCCTGGAGAGGCACGTCCAATTAAGGGGTCAGGCTCTTCGGCTTGGAAATGGAGATGAGCACCACATCCCTAGAGTCGGATTCGACTGGCTTTCGAGCAAGGGAAACCTTTACCTATACAGATATTTCATTTATTTTATTTCATTTCTAGACTTATATCCTGCCCTTCCCCAGGGTGCAGGGCAGCTCACAACATCCAATAAACAATCTATAAATAAAGTCAAAACATACTACAAAAACATTAAATTACAGTCTATAAAATAGCACCTTAAACTCAGGCATCAGAATAAAACATGAATCATTTGGCAGCCAATAATCAATATCCCAGAGCTGCGGTGGCTCAAGTGGTTAAGATGCTGAACTGCAGGCTGTGGAAGGTCGGTAGTTCAGCAGTTCAAGACCCGAGTGTGCCGCAAAATGGGGTGAGCTCCTGTCTCTAGTTCCAGCTCCTGCCAACCTAACAGTTCAAAAGCAAGAAATTGCAAGTAGATATATAGGTACCACTTCGGTGGGAAGGTAACAGCGTGCCGTGCGCCTTGGTGTTTAGTCATGCCGGCCACATGACCACGGAAACGTCTTCGGACAGCGCTGGCTCTTCGGCTTTGAAACGGAGATGAGCACCGCAACCCTAGAGTCGGATTCGACTGGCTTTCGAAGAAAGACGTCTGACGAAAGAGACTATGGACTGTGTGCTCTGAATACTAACAGATTAACTAAACTAATACCATTAACACCACTCACTCTATTTCTTTATCCCTCTATATACCCACCCTTTTTTCTTGAACTTAAAAGAAATATCTCTCCTTTTTAGGAGAGGGAATAAATCTTTATCCCCCCCCAAAAAAAAAAGAATGAAGATTTTTTAAAAGAATTGCTTTAAGTCAAAACATTCAAGGCAACACGCCATTGATTTATCTGCTCTTGCTATTCCCTATCCCAGCATCCCCCAGTTTGAGGGTCGCTTAGCTGAAAGTGGATTGAAAGGATGAAACTGCCTTTTGCAGTTCTTTTGCTCTGTTTTTCTCAGTGGGTCACTGTACTACAAAAATTTGGACTTGTGGGCCACCGTGCCACGACGATTGGGAAGCACGGTTATATCCTCCATATCCCCAAGTGACTTGTTTCACTCATGAGTTTACAGAGTACTTTCAGGAAGTGTGTTATGGGGGCAGGAATAATTTTCTTAAACTCGGAGTCGGGGAATCAGCTGTGCACATATGGTGCTCTGCACGGCTGGCTCAAAATATCAAGCCCAGTGTCTCCCCTTCCACGCCAGCTTTCCCCAGCGTGGTCCAAAGGAGACTGAAGAAAAAGCACGTCTCCACAGTCTGCCTTGGATGAATCCAAGTCAGCAGCTGCCCAAGAACAGATGCACCTCATGCTGCTGCCCCGGAGCCCAGGCAGCAGCTCCACCAGTAGCAGCACCCCCTGCATCACGCCCCCCCCCCACCCCGGGCAGTTTGGCAGCCCAAGTAGCAGCTGGGGTCACTTGAGGGGCGAACCAGCCCTTCCTTTCTGGAAACCAAGTAAAGAAATTAGCAGCCTCAGATCAACAGGGAAAAGGAAAGTTGTGTGGCCAGCAATGTTCCCTCTAAGCTATGGAGCCTTGTGAGCAAAAATTCTACTTTGTGAGCTACTGGCATTAAAATTGTGAGCGAGCAATTTGGCTGCTGCATAAATTAGTTGACTCTGGAGCCATCCTTCCTGAGCCAAGACAAAAATGTGTGAGCCGGAGGCTAAAAAACTGAGCTAGCTCACACTAGCTCAGCTTAGAGGGAACACTGCACCTGAAAAACCAGAAATTAGGACTCAATGGGAGGCAGCAAGGACGAGGAGGAGGAGGAGGAGATTGGATTTATACCCCACCCCTTCACTCAGAGTCTCAGAGCAGCTTACAAACTCCTTTCCCTTCCCCTCCCCATGACAGACACCCTGTGAGCAGTGTTCCCTCTAAGCTGAGTTAGTGTGAGGTAGCTCACAGTTTTTTAGCCTCCAGCTCACACATTTTTGTCTTAACTCAGGAAGGATGGATCCAGAACAAACTAATTTATGCAGGAGCCAAATCGCTCACTCACAACTTTAATGCCAGCTGCTCACAAAGTAGAATTTTTGCTCAGAAGACTCCATAGCTTAGAGGGAACATTGCCTGTGAGGTAGGTGGGGCTGAGAGAGCTCTTGAGAGAACTGCCCTTGAGAGAACAGCTCTGAGAGAACAGTTCTCAGAGAACATTGACTGACCCGAGGTCACCCAGCATCCACATGTGGAGGAGTGAGGAGGGATCAAACCCAGTTCTCCAGATTAGAGTCCGCCATTCTTAACCACTTCACCAAAAGGAGGAGAGGCTGAAGCAATTTCTGGGTCTCATGGAAGGACACTGGGATTGCCAGCTTTTCCGAGCCTGAGGGCACCTTTGGAATTCTGACACAGTGTGGTAGGCACAGCCATACAACGGTGACCATGAAATTGCTGCCACAGAAGAAGAGGAGATTGGATTTATACCCCGCCCTTCACTACCCAAGAGAGTCTCGGATCGGCTTACAAACTCCTTCCCCTTCCCCTTCCCCTCCCCACACAACAGACACCTTGTGAGGTTGGCGGGGCTGAGAGAGCTCTGGCAGAAACTGCTCTTTTTCAAGGACAGCTCTGACAAAATGATGGCTTGCCCAAGGTCATCCAGCATCTGCGAGTGGAGGAGTAGGGAATCAAACCTGGTTCTTCCAAATTAGAGTCTGCGCACTTAACCACTACACCAAACTGGCTCCTAAAATGGCTGCTGCAGCTTACCTTCAGTCTCACAGTGGAGATCCTTGGGCTGTGATGGCGGCTTACTGCCGAAATAGCCTTTTAAAAAAATCTGCAGAGCCAATCAAATCTCTAGTGGCCAATCAAAAGCCTTGTTGCCCCAAAGACCCACCTGGCCCCTCCCACTTCCCCCAAACACTTGGCAGTTTCTAGGAAACACGTCAGTTGGCACACCGAGGCAGACCTCTGCTGTTATCACTGCGCCAAACTGGGTGTAATCTTAAATTGGCTCTTTAGGATTCAAGAGAAGAAGAAAACACCATTTCAATATTTTACCTGAAATGTTAAAGAACTTATGGATTGGCAGCTTCAGTCCAGGAAGGAGCGATGACAATATGAGCAGCCCATTCAATTCCAGATTTTAAAAAAACCCCAAAATGGATGTGAGACAATGTGACAGATGATAAAGCTCAAAAGGCTTTAAAAGTTTGAGGGAAACGGCTCCTTCTCATCAAAGTTTGTTTTGAAAACTCTCCACAGATGCCAACCTATGCGTATCTAATTAGTGAGGACAAATGTTTATCAGCAGTGTCCTCAAATAATATTATGTCTTTTCTGAGCACTCCACAGAGGAAGCCAAAGTCAAATAAACTTTGCTTCGAGCTCATATCTTCAATAACCACATTTTAAAAATGTATAATCCTTTCAATTCTTTGCCGGAGCTGAATAGCATATACAGACTCCCTGGGTTACACTCCTTAAATTGCTTAGTCTTTCCCGGCTTCTCTGAAGCAGGAATATTAAACATGCAGGGAACGAACCCCAGAGTCACTGCTTCTTCAGACAGTCGTTTTATATACCCTTAAGAGAAAGGGGGAAAGTTAATTTTGTGCCCAGCGTTTTTAAAAAAGAAATCTCAAAAGTTCTTTCAAACTTATTTCCAGGTTGTTTATTTATTTTAAAACCCACTCAAAACTATCCAGAGGGCTGTAGGAAAGTTCTGCTCAGTCAGCGTTTCTGTCTCCGTACGGAGCATCTGGTGACCCATGCTGAGTCATGAGTCAAGTTTATTACGACCCAAGATCAGAGAACAGATCAGAAGTTGGCTGCTAGTTGGCCTTACCACTCAACAGTCCCTCGGTCAGACACTTAATTGTTGGCTGGAGAAGAATCTGTCTGAAACACACAACCTCTACTGCTTAGGTATTCCAGCGAGAAGTGCTAAGTGCTGCTGGGTGGCTTTCAGCTTCCGCCAGCTAAGCATACTGTGGCGGGAATAAGGCAGGGGCAGCATTAGTGATTCTGGGGTCCCGGTCAAAAGTCCAAGATGGGGCCCAGGATCACTGCCTCCAAGCGAGAGGTAGCCTTCGCACCGTGTGAGGTGGGTAGGAGCTGCTGCCGGAAGCCAGCAGCCAGATATGACAGGAGCAAGTGGCCTGACCACAGGTGAGGGAGGTTTGAGTGGGTGGAATTGAGCCCTGGCATGCAATGCTCCCTCTAAGCTGTGGAGTGTTGTGAGCAAAAATTCAACTTCGTGAGCTACTGGCATTAAAGTTGTGAGCCAGCGATTTGGCTGCTGGATAAATTAGTTTGCTCTGGAGCCCTCCTTCCTGAGCGAAGACAAAAATGTGTGAGCCGGAGGCTAAAAAACTGTGGGCTAGCTCACACTAACTCAGCTTAGAGGGAACACTGCTGGCATGAGCGATGGCAGCGGGAGCCTGCTGCTTTTCTTCTTTTCTCCTTTCCCTCTGGAGTAGGGTTGTGTGGCCGAAGACCCCCTAGCCTGAGGCCCAGGGCAGCTGCCTCTGTTGCCCATTGGCTAAGACCACACCTGAAGTAAGAAAGAAAGGAGCAGTGTGGCCTCTTCCCGTGATCCACCCCACTAGTAGAGGGGCTTTCCTCTGGTGGACGGAGCTGTCCCCTGGTGGGAAGACACTTTTATGAATGCTTGTGTGCCTTCAAAGTGCCTCTACTAATGGGGTAGCCAGACCCATGGGATCCAACCCTGTATATTAATAATGAAATAACCACAACAAAAGTTGTGGTTTCTTAATGAAAGCATTTGAACAGAAAATGATTTCCTCTGAGATCGTCAGTGAATCATTTTACCTTAGTGTATAGTCGCATATTATCATAAGGGTTTGTTTGTGCCTGTAAAGTTAGAACAC